CACTTACAATATGTGTCCTTAGTTCGCAGCATATACTTTGCGAGCTCTTATATTGTTACTATTATGATGCGTATAATTTATATTAGGACGTATAATATATAGATAGATTATATATAATATATGTAGATACTCAATGTTTAGCCAGAAGTGTGACGTCTTGTAGTGGTGTGGCGCTATAGGCGAACAAGACCTCGTGCTCTGCGCTAGCTAGCGAGAGTTAGTGGACTCATTTGCATGCTGTTTGTCACACCTCGTCCGTGACAGTGTAGTAGTCAGATTTTAAACGTTGCCGCAGCGTCAGGGCCGTGGGCGGGAGGTTGCGAGGTCGTTTGTTGTGGGGAGGAGTGTGAGTGAGGTGTTATAGTTGTGTGCGGGTGGGCGCGCAGGGGGGTAAGGCGTAGTTGCTAAAGGTGTGACGTAACGATGGGGCACGAGCAGGCAGGCAGGTGGTGGCTGTGCCCTGCTTGTGTGGCTGCTATTGCCATCTGTTGTTGTTGTTGTTGTTCTGGTGTATCGCGTGGTTAACATAACGTGAGCGGCAGGTGAGTGTGTTTTAACGATGGGTGGAAGATCACTACTAACTAGATATTTGTGCATGCCGCCCTGCAATTGCATCACTCGCACGCACCGACTGTAGTCGAATCTGCAAGGATCACACTTCGTAGATCCTAGATAACTTCATCGTATCCACAGGCACTTGGAGCGTTTGAATAAAATATAATGCTAAATAAATACGAATGTTAAATATATATTAAATATATTAAATATAATTATATATTTATATAATTATATAAAACATAACTATATATTTATGTTGACAGTGGCTGTCCTCGGCAGCTCATGGCGGCAGCCGATCGTTTTGTTGCCACATGAGCGATTTGACGGCATTTGCCAGCGAAATGTCTGGGGCAATAATAGGTGAAGATGAGTATTTATAGAAAAACATTAAGACTTTGTATAGTAAATAAACATTTCGATATTTATTTACATTATATTTTATTTTATAACGACTGCAAGTGCCCTGTGATCGTAATTCGTGGTTCACCCGAAAACAGAAACGGAATACACGTAGATTGAACGAGAAGGGTATTGTGTGATAGACTAAGAGCTCCTAGTTTAAATAAGTGCGAATGTTTACCCCACCCTTCCAAAAAAAATAGGGGATTATAAGTTGAGATGTACTGATTTATCGGCAGCCATGTTGTTTTATCTCATTATAGGTCTCTCGCAGACGCCGCGGACGTTGTGGCGCGTTGTTCCAGCGAGTTAATTAACTATCACTCGGCGAGAAGCGAGCTTGGAAATTGTTTTTAGTTTGAGCTTCGAACGTGTGACGAAGATAATGAGCCGCGCACTTCTGTTATCAGATCGCAGTTTTTATTTCTGGGGACGTGTTACAGGCAGCAAGGACTGTTGCGTTGCAGTATGCACATGTCACTTGCAGAACAATGTAGCCTATGTGTGTAACGAGGTGCGCAGGCCAGAAACAATTTCGCGTTTGGCGAGTTTCCTGGCTAACAAGATGTTGCGCTTTTTACCCAATATTTTATTTTTTTTTTTTTTTGTATATTTTTTGTCAGCATTATACGCGAGGATCGAGTCGATCGCTGGTGAACGAGTTGGCAACGAATCAAACTTGGCTGTTAATTAAGAACTCGCGTGTTTGTTTCTTAACTCTTGCACTTGCTTACAGGACAAACGTAATAATAGCAGTAATGCGTGGTCCAATAAAAATCACGCTTGACGTTTAGAGTTTTTTATGTATTGTTTTTGTCCGGGCTTGCCGCCGATATATGACGCCATCAACTTACTTTTGTTGTATCTGCGGATTCTCAACTCATGCTTGACTATTAAAAACTGAAAAGGAAACTTTAAATTAAGAAATTAAACAATCCGTTTTAAAATAACCGTGCGCTACGATCGGGCTTTCGTAGGCCTTTACCGATGGACACTGATTAAACTACGCATAACTATTAATAACGCAAGGAGGTTGCCGGCGAAAAGCAATTCTAATGATCCAAGCAAAGATATAAGGTTTTCGTAAACAGATTCGTGGTAGGAGCGCGCAGGTTGATGCTAGCAGTGCGGAATGGAGCAAATACCACAAATATATCGGTAATGATAATAACATGATTAGAGCGTAATACGGCGAGAGCGATCGGTGATAAATCAGTAAAATACTAGTATAATTGAAGTGATATAATGCGAAGCTTCTAATGTACTAGTGTGAATCCGCGTATGATGCTGTTCGCAGCTGATACGATGACGTGATTGGCTTCCTAACTGCATTAGATTTGTCCGTAAACTATGAAGCGTGCATACGATGCCGCGAGGTGACATACGCGCGGCGCTAAGCGCGGGATGGCCGCTCCGCCGGACGTACGTATTGCGTACGAACACGCGAGTGTTCTCTCCCTGTTGCGATTTGTCACGCTGGTTATTTTTTCTCACGGCTCACCCACCCTCAATCAGACCCCATTTTATTTTTTGACATCTGTACATCAGATGTACAGATGTCAAGTGCCGGTTCTACGATTTCAATCCACGAATTTAAAAATCTACGAACATGTGTGTTTTATCGAAACCACGAAAATTGGGATCCACCAAAATAAGTGACTTACGTTCCCAACGATATATGATGTACTACATCATATATCGTTGGGAACGTAAGTTCGTGGATTGATGTACCAACGAAATCCACGAAAATTGGTACCCCACGAAAAAAAGGAATTTGCAGTATATATTGCACGACGCGTGTTTCCGAGCGAATTGCATTAAAAATTTAATCGCACGATTAGCCGCTACCTACGAACTCTCGTATCGTCGGTGTGAAATAATTTCAGAACAGATGGATGTTTTGTAGATACGTTTGTAGGCAGTGAATGAATTAATTAGTGAATTAATGACTCGGAGCCGTGTAGTTACGCGCGCGCTGGGATTAATTGTTCCTATAAAAAAGTTGTTTGAATGAATATTGGTTCTTTTTCATAATCCCGGTGAGGATTGTAAACTATTGCATTTGGGGGGGGGGCGCTCTACTATTGCGTTGTTCGGAGGTGCTACTGGCGGTTGTATGCCTTCAGCTTTTACAACGAGGTTTTAACTTTCGTTTTGTTTTTTAATGACGCGTTTCCAAGCTTTATGATTCATCATGACTGCAATCTAAGATGGCCGTTCGAATAAATGTGCGCGCGTGCTCGAGCGCGTGTGCGTGCGTGTGTGTGTGCGTCTGTGTGTGTGCGTGCGCGCGCGTGTGTGTTTGTGTGCGTGCGCGTGTGTGCGCGTGTGTGTGTGTGTGCGCGCGTGCGTGTGTGTGTGCGTGCGTGCGTGCGCGTGTGTGCGCGTGTTTGTGTGCGTGCGCGTGCGCGTGCGTGTGTGTGTGCGTGCGCGCGTGTGTGTGCGTCTGTGCGTGCGCGTGCGTGCGTGCGTGCGTGCGTGCGCGTGCGTGCGTGCGTGCGTACGCGATGTGTAGGCTCAGTCATCGTCGCATCAATGAATCTCGCTCCTCCGCCACCAGCGCTAAAACATGTGCGGGAGATCTGATGCGTCAGCAGCATCAGCTACCCGGCTCATCTCACTCGCTGTCTCTCTTGTAACGCGAGCCAGTGCAAAAACAACTGCAAGGCAGCGTGACGTATGCACGCCGTATCACTTGCAAGGTTCGCGTATACAGTCACCGGATATATATCCAGCCTATCAACGCATACGAGTTGGTGTATACTCACACACGTACACTCCCTATAACTTCATATATACCCCCCGTGAACACCGCAACGAAATAACCCGGAGTCTGTAAATTCTGCGCTTCATAAACTGTATTTTATGCTGAGCAATTAACACGTTTAGGATGTCTGCCGCAATCGGGTGGCGCGAAACAAGGGGTGTATTATATAGCGCTGTAGAAATAGTTCAATCGATATCCGCGGAGCTGCGCACACAGCGTGCGTGTACGCGTGTGATTGTACGAACGCGTTAAAGTTTTGTTGGCATCATAACGTGTTAGGGCTTCCGTCGCTATATTACACGCGCGCGGTTTTTTGTACGGCAATAGTCCGCGCTCCATTGACTGCGATTAGAAAGTGAGGGCTCTTTGGATAGCCTTGTATATATGCGTAACTGAAGAGGTCAAGAGCTGAAGCAAGGTCATCAACCTTTCCTTGATGTAGAACCTTGTTGTGGAAAGCAGTACAATCTGAGGTCCTATATGCGGTCTATGAAGAGCCAGAAGGATAACTTAATATTGTAGATCTAGGACGATAGGCGGATGACCTAGCTGTGGGGGAATGAACTCGGTTGATGTGCGTGTGCGCTCATGCGTGTATGTGTGTGAAGGAGTGAGTATGGTATACGGTTGATAACCGTGTCAAGGGCACATGTTTTATTTTTTATTTCATTTTTAGCTGCAGCTCTCTCGATCATTGGGCCGTAGTATTTTAGAGCATAACAATTTAGGCACCCATGTAGTATTTGCTCAGGGTGGATTTTGCTTTGCGTGTTTTCGGCCTTTGTTTGTTTATTTTGGCAGCGAGCGCATCCTGGTTATATATTAGCTGCGTTCACACGTATACACGGCTTAGCTGGTACCGTACTTAGTTGGTGCTAAGTCCGGTTAAAATGCGTTCACACGAGATACACGAGATTCGAGGCTTAGCTAGCGCGGTATAATATAGACTGGTACCGGGTCGACAGTTCCACACGCTACGCTAACGTCGTGCAGCGAACAGGTAGCAGTCTAGGTTCACACGACAATCAATACGCGGCCAGCGTGGTGCCGAATATACGCGGCTTAGTTGACGCGGAATATGATTCCGCGCTAAGCAAGCCGGAGCATTTGCGGTTAAGCAAGCCGTGGCTAAGCAAGCCGCGTATATTTTAGCGTGTGAACGCAACTTTCTCCTCGTGTGAACGCAGAGCTACACTGCTGTTCTTGATGAGTCAGTCAACATGCCTCACAAGCTATTGCCGGATCTAGCATTTTGATAGCGGGTGGCTGCAGCAAACTTGGATGGGGAGGGTGGGGTGGGGGGGGGGGTGCCGGTCCATTCCCTGTAAACCTCAAAAGTGTAAATTGCCTGAGGTCGAATTTGAGGTACATATATGCGTACATTTACAGCGTTAATAATTTTAGTTAATGAGTATTCTATTTTTGAAGAGAACACTTCCTTAATATGATAAAGAGTGGCCACGAAAATCAGAACAACTTAGTATTTTTAGTTTCATTTTAGAACGATGATGCATGTTAAATATATATATATATATATATATATATATATCAAGAGCTAATAATAGAGTGCATATCTATTATGCACTCTTGATATATATATATATATAGGCCTATATATATATATATTATAATAATATATATATATATAATTCGTTAACTTGTTCATCATCGTCATTATAACTTATCGAATTTCTAAAATGCGTTAATTTTGCTTAAAATCAGAACAAGCGAAAATGGTCCTGTCATGATTCTGTGCTCACGTGCGTACGTTCGCATGCATGCGTGCGTGCGCGTGCGTGCGTGCGTGCATGTGATGCTTGTTTGTTCAACAGCCCGGCTGTATCACGGGACCTACTCGCGGGCTGTATATGTTGCGTTTGTTTTGTGATGGACTAAGTGGAATTTTCCTGTTGGGGTTTACAGCTAGTAGCCCGATAGCGTATCCTAGCATCACGTGATGCCATTTTTGGGTGCGACGAGCGGGTTTCGCTGGTTATGAAAAACATGACTACTAAGCCAACAATGTGGAATGCAGGACCCTTCACCCTCTAAATCTGCTACTTATGTCATCTATCTCTACTTATATCTTATATCTATATATTTATATATCTATATCTATATATCTTATATCTATATCTTATATCTATATCTTATATCTATATCTCTTAATCTACTTATGGCATCATACTATCTAACTGGCATGCCGATATGCTGTCTGTAATGTGATATGTACCTGCCCCACTGTCTCTTCTCTATCAGCATCTTTATCAGCATCTCCCCTCATTTCTGCCCCGTTTTTATTTCATCCCCACGTTCTATTGCTCGTGCTCTCCTCTGTCTCTCCTTTGTCCTTGTTTCTGTCATGCGCGCTCTCTTTCTCCCTCTCTCTCTTCCTCTCTCTCGGTCCCTCCGATCCCTCTCCCTATCCATCTACTCCCTTCTCTCTCTCCCTCTCTCGGTCCCTCCCTATCCCTCCCTTTCTCTCTCTTCTTATCTCTCGGTCCCTCCGGTTCATCTCCCTCTCTCCCTCTCTCCCTCTCTCGGTCCCTCCTATCCCTCTCGCTCTCGCTCTCGCTCTCGCTCTCGCTCTCGCTCTCGCTCTCGCTCTCCCTCTCCCTCTCTCTCTCCCTCTCCCTCTCCCTCTCCCTCTCCCTCTCTCTCTCCTGCTCCTCTCCCGTCCGCTTTTCTCTCTCTCCGCCTCTCACATCTCTTTCTCTCCTCTCCTCTCTCTCCTCCCCCTCTCGCTCTCGCCTTTCAATCTAAACCCTCTCTCTTCGCCACTTATGCATTTTCTCTCTCGGGCTTCATCATTTTCTCTCTCGGCTTTCAGGATCCCGACAACAGTGCCACCTATGGAGGGCACCAAGGGCCTCAAGTCGCAGGACAGCACGATCGCGTTCCACACTGCCGACGAGGCGGTGCCGGAGAAGGTCACTGAGCCGGAGAGGGAGACGTGGGGCAACAAGATCGACTTCCTCCTCGCCTGCATCGGCTTCTCCGTCGGACTCGGAAACGTGTGGAGGTTCCCCTACCTCTGCTACAAGAACCGGAGGAGGCGAGTGTCGGTTAAGATCCTCGCATGGGGGTGGGGGAGTGTGGGTCGGCGCCTCTATAGAGAGCGGTCGTGGGTGGGTGGGGGGTTTTTCGCTTAGATTAGGTCGTGGGCGGCAAGTGAGCCCGTGCGGTGGCAGGCTGTTTCGCTTAGATAGGTTCGTGGGTGGGTGGGCAGGGTCGGGCTTAGAAGGCGTTTGATGGCGGGTGGGGAGGCGTTCGCTTAGATAGGTCGTTGTGGTGCTCGGTGGAGAGGTCGCTTAGAAGAGGTCGTGGTGGGCTGTGGAGGTTCTCGCTTAGATAGGCGTGGGGGTGGGCTGTGAGAGGGTTCGCTTAGATACGGTCCGCTTGGTGGTGGGGAGGGCCCGGGACGACCGTGGGTGTGGAGGCGTTCGCTTAGAGAGGCTGTGGTGGGGTGAAAGCGGTTTCCGCTTAGAGTAGGTGTGGTGGGGTGGGCCAGGGTGCGCTTAGATAGGTCGATGGTTGTGGGTGGGAGGTGTTCGCTTAAGAGAGATCGTCGGTGTGGGTGGGAGGGTTCGTTAGATACCGGGTCGTGGGTGGGTGGAGGGAGATGGGTTGTTCGCTTAGATAGGTCGTGGACAGTGGGTGGAGGGGTCGTTAGTGAGATCCTGTTACTTGGCTTCTGGCAAGAATGAGTGTAAAACCTCCGCGTACTGCGCGTGCGTAAAAACGCGCGCAGTGTTGTGCTTCCGAAAAACTAGAACGTATATATATTTCCGAGCTACGCGCGGTTGAACGCCATCGCTAACCTATGTATGGTCGGCAATGTATGACGTCCCCCAGTTGGTTCATATACCTACCAGGGCACTGTGGCACAGATGTTCTTAAAATACTGAAATTATTTTATCGAACGCGCACAGTTTCACAAAAAAATACCCGTTTTCTTTGCATTCCACTTAGGAATTTTGTCACTGTATATTGACTTGCATTTGCAAAAGAGATATATATATACGAGACTCGGCCACATCCCCGCAACGCCCCCCGGTGCCAGCTGGCTGGGGAGGCCGGCTAGGCTCCCTACAGTCAGTTTTTTGTGAAAGAAAGTCCACGATATTACGTTCACACAAACGTAGTGGAAGTCTGTAATAAACGGGATTAGTTGCTTGTGAAATGTGCCGCTTTGCATATTATTCGGATTTTTAGTTTGTTATTATGACTCTGCCCCAGGTGCCTGGTTTTCATACCAGCCCGTTAAGTCCGCAAGGCTGGCGGCAATCGTCCAGATGTTTAGCAGGTGTCCTGTCTGTTGTTGTTGTTTTTTGTGTACCCGGAACGGATCACGGTGATATTTTTCGGTAGCGATTACAGCGTTCAGAGACAGCAGAACGGGAGCAGGAAAGTGGGAAATAGCGCGATTTGAGCTCTATCATAAATCTCGGGGTCGGCGCGTCACTTCAAGGCACACGCTGCTAATTGCACGCTAACGGACGCGGTGCGTCTGTCGGCGTAACGGCGGACCGAATAGGCTGCGGAAGGGAAAGAGGGCTGGATGCTGCTTCGTGTACAGGTACGTCGCTGCGATGTTTATGTGGCTTGCATGCGTAGCGGTCTGGTAGTGAGGTGCGTTATAGTGTTTTATGTGTTACTGCGTGGTCGGCGTGTGGGTGCGGTGCCGTGCGTGTGCGTGCTGTGCCGTTGCTGCGTGTTGAATCGCGGTCTCGATTAGGAGGTTTGGTTAGTGTTTTTCACTGCGAGGTTGTGTGGTGGGGTGCGCCGTGTGTGCGTGCGCGTGCGTGTTCGCTGTGCGTGCGTAGTTGCGTGCTGTGTTGTGAGTACGTCGCGTGTGTGTGTGCGTGCGTAATCGTATGTCGCCGCGGCGTTGTTATGGCTTGCGTCCGTCGTTGGTTCCGCGTTCGTGAGGTGCCCAAAATCTGTGTGTAATTTTTTCAACAACAGTTAAATGGGTACGACGCGTTACGTCCTGCCGTAGTCACTATTGTGTCCCAAGCAGGGGTGTCCGTATCACGCGGTGGGTGGGACAAGGGTACAGCTGCCCCCCTCGATTTTTAATATAAATAAAACATAAAATTGTTGACTAAAGTCAGAATTGTCCGTATAAGAATGAAGGGTGTACATAAGTGCCTCAGAATTACCCATCTCCTGCGAGCTACATTTTGCAAAATTTTCTGTGGGAGGACCCACAGACCGCCCACCGGTTCCTCACCCCCTCCTTGAAATCCTGGATCCGCCACTGCCCCCTAGGAATTTGCTCAGCCTACGGCCCTGCCAAGTAACAGGGGGTGTTGCTATCCCCCGGGCGTGGAGGGACAGTCACGTGATACTGTCGACGTATACTTCAAAGTCCAAATCTTCCACAGAAAGATTCCACAGTCATACCTCCGTACTAGACATGGCCTTATATCCCTAACCCTAACCCTAATCCTAACCCTAACCCTAACCCTAACCGTAACCCTAACCCTAATCCTAACACTAGTGCTGCCACATATTGCGGTACTGTCCCTCCACGCCCGGGGGATAGCATTTCCCAGTAACAGGGGGCCGCTACCCATAGTCTGACACAGCTCTCCCGCGCTGTCGCTGCGTGGCTAGTTGTCCCCCGCAGCGACGCCGACGCACGCATACATAACGCCGACGGTTCCCAAGATGGCCGCCGAGCAGCGGGTCGATGTGGCCGACGTGCATGCATGCAGGCACAGCCAGCCAGCCAGCCAGCCGAGAAGGATGGATTTCCTGTTTCAATAAAAATCAGATTAGGAATTCTGAGCGCGCATTGTAGTCGCGGTCGGCGCACGCGGACGGCGATAATATTCTGCTGTCGTTGATAACGGCGTTCCAATCTCGCTATGACTTTTGTGTGGGTATAGTACATGCATGCAGGCAGACTATGCCCACGTAATCGTACACCCTCCCTCCCTCCCTCCCGCGCGCGCGTGTATCGAGAAAGCCTACGTCAGCGCCAGAAACGGTGACGCACGACGGTTATGAATCATGCGCTATTCTTTTGATCACTCGCGAAAGGGGCCGGTGACGGCAGGCGGTCGCCATGGCAACGGAATTTTCAGTGAATATATAGCGTATAACTTCATTGGATTCTCTCGGCGGCTGCGGTCTGCAGCAGCTACAGCTACTCTGCGATCGCCTCCCTATTACTGCGTGCGTCACAGCATGTTATCTCTAAATTCTAGCTCGAAAATCGATGCAGATAGAATTTCGTAAGGAACCGTGGCTTCGTATAAATCAAGCCGCTAGTTAAAAAAAAAAACAGGGGTTTTTCCCCCGGTGATGGCAAGTAGATTTTTATCCTAGAGCTTCTTGATAGCCCCTCTCCCGTGTCATATGACGCAATCGTCGATCGTCTGATAGCCGTGGATGTATGATGTCGGTCAGATATCCGCTTGGGTGATGTCGGCGCTCTATTTTGGAACCACGATTACGGCTCCGGCGAGGATGACAAGGATGGTTAACACTCCGATGTGCGTCAAGCCTAGCGCAGACTTGCGACTTTTGGTTGCTCGTCGGGTCGTCGCTGCAACCTGCAATTAACCGCATGCGATCGGCCGCGCGCTTCGCCGTGTGTGCGCATGCAAGCGACTGCTGTCGCTTCTTTTCATTGTCTTTTTGTCTTTCCATTGTCTTTCCATCCCGCACACATGCTATTTCGAAGCGATTGCGAGCGACGAGTTGCTGAAAATCAAATCGGTTTGATTTCTTGCAACTCGTTGCAAGCGACCAGAATCGCTACGAGTTGCAGTTGCACGTTCTTAGCAACGCTTTCGCCGACGCTAGCCGATTTCACAGCAATTTCGACTGCGATTCTAGAATCGCAGCCGAGATGCATGAAAAAGTCGCAAGACTGCTCTAGACTGAGCTGCGCTAGGCTAAACTGTCTGTCGTGGATGAGACGAGAGTCCGGCGGTGGCTTCCGTACCGCTGCTGTCTGGATCGATATTATGAGACAAAAACACATAAAAAATAACAAAAATTAAAAAAAATACAACAAAGCAAACAAAAGCCCCCGCGAGCTTTGTAGACAAGGCTGCCTTCCTTTGTTCGGCATAGCAATTAATGTGCTTGAGTTTACATGCCGAGACCTATATATTATATCCTATCTTGTAAGAGGCGAGCCACGTGCTACGGATGTAGGGCCGGCCAGATTTCAGAAGGAGATGAGTGATGGAGGGATATGAGGGTTCTCGGGAGGGGGAGAGAGCGGCGCGCGCTACCGTGCGTGAAGAGAAGGAGAGCATATGGGAGCATAGAGAGAGAAGAGAGATGATGGAGCTATAGCAGAGAGAGGGACGTATAGAGAGCAGAGAGAGCAGAGAGAGAGAGGAGCAGATGAGAGAGAGAGAGAGACGAGAGCAGAGAGAGAGAGAGAAGAGCAGAGAGCAGAGAGAGAGAGAGATAGGGTTAGGGTAATCATTTAATTTCTCTTGAATTTACATCATCGGCATTCAAGCCTATATAGCAGCTAAGATCAATGCCGTACACATCCCAAAAATAACCGTAAAGGTATGACCATTAGGTTTTTTTTCCTTCGATCCATACCCAAGAGAGATCCATTCTCTCTTCACACCATTATTGACCGATACTAATGTATTTATTCTTTTACAGGAGCGTTCCTGATCCCATATTTCCTTTTCGTTGCCATTGGTGGCATTCCCATGTTTTACATGGAGGTGGCACTGGGGCAGTTCATGTCGGAGGGTGGAATAAAAGCTTGGAATATATGTCCTTTGTTTAGAGGTAAGTTGGTAGTCTCACACTTGAATAGCATAAGGAGCTGTGTGTACATGGGCGTGCGTGCATCTATCTATCTATCTATCTATCCTATACTATTATCTACCTATCTATACTACTTTATCTATCTATCTGGCCGCTCTGTTCTGCTCTGCCTGTCCCGTTCCGTACCGTCCCGTCCGTCCGTCCGTCCGTCCCTATCCTCTGCTCTGTCTGTCTGCTTTATCTGACCGTCGTTTATTTCTTCTTTTCTCTCTTCTCTCTCTCTCTCTCTCTCTCTCTCTCTCTTCTCTCTATATATATATATTTATTTATTTATTTATTTATCTAGTTATTATTTATTTATGTCAATAATTCCGATTCATTTAGTAGAAAGTGTACGAACCCTTTAATGCAATTAATGAACGCCGAATTTTGCTGATATTCCTTTAGATGACTGCGACCTTACTATATATATATATGTATCTTTACTTCGCTTCTCTCTCTCTCTCTCTCCTCTCCTCTCTCTCTCTCTCTCTCTCTCTCTCTCCTCTCTCTCTCTCTCCTCTCTCTCTCTCTTCGCTTTCTCGCCTTCGCTCTCGCTCTCTCTCTCTCCTCTCTCTTCTCTCTCTCTCTACTCTCTCTCGCTCTCTCAGCTCTACTCGCTCTCTCTCTCTCTCTCTCTCTCTAATTCTCTCTCTCTCTCTCTCTCTCTTCTCTCTCTCTCTATAATATACTATATATATATATATGTATGTAATATACCGGTGTGTGATTGTCAGTGATAGATCGGTTGCCGTCTTACTTGCTTGCAGGCATCGGTTTTGCCCGCAACGACAGTGATTGTATTTTACCTGAACTGTTATTATACAAACATGCATACCTTGACGTGCTCGCTTCGCTACACGTTCGCGCTCCTTCACGGAACTGCCGTGGGGCGTAAGTGCGGCAACGAATGGAACACGCCGCCCAGTTGTTCGTCTCGTTCGACGATGAGCAACCAGGTTAATGGCCACCACTCTTCGTGCAATTGACAGCATGTTATCTGAAGCCTACTTCGCTCCTGAATCCGTCCATGGCGGGCCCGCAGCAGCTAATAGCACGTCATCTAGTCGCACCGGTCACAGAGTTATTGGACGTAAGATCATAAACGCGTAACGTGTCTTTGCTAGCTATTCCGCCAATC